ATTGTTGCATATTGATGTTTAGTTGCTTCAGTCGTATCTGAATTTCTTTCCGCTAAAGTATCCTTTGCATTTTTTAAAATGGTGATCTATTCACCTTAAAATTAGACTGCTTATGATTGTCGTCAACTCAGTGTGAGCACATTAAAATGCTTTTCACGCTGAATAATCTTTGCAGAGGATATTTGCTTTTGCTATGTGGCATTTGAACTAGCTATAGTGTTACATTTGGATTTGCTATTTGTACAATCGTGCAATAAAATTTTCTATTGTACATTTGAACTTTTTATGTGGCGGGAAACTTTCTATATGGAATGTGAACTTGCTATGTGGCATTTGTATTTCTTATGTGTACATTTGGTCTGAAAAAACTATATATACAAAATCATAGACACATTAATCTAATCAAAATGCAAAGAGGATAAGGAAGCTTCGGTTGATAGAAAATGTTTAGAAAATTAAGAAGATAGGTCAAACAACCCGAGAAAGATGCATAACAACATTACAGAACTCATCGGAAGTAAGCACAACAAAAAATCGTCAGGAGATGTTGAAGACAAGGAAACCAGAATGTTATTGGAGGAAAAAAAGTCTTAGGAAGATGGGCAGAATATGTAGGAGAATTGTTTGAATATAAAAGGTCACCCCTACCACAACCAGGGAAATAAACTGGCCACCCTACCACAATATGCCGAACGCCCAGGAAGTCGCCCCACTAACAAGGCAATCCCCAAAGTCCGGTTCGGATGCTGGAACAGCTTTATAGCTCACAACTGAAAACACCCCAGAAGGAAAAGCCTCCGGTGAAGATGGCATAAACACAGAAATACAGAAGCAATTAGATCAATTTGGCATTGACACTATTGCAAAATTTGTCAACGCTGTATATGACTCAGGATGTATACCAGAGGGCTACCCCAGTCGGTTTATACTATCATCCTCCCGAAAAAAGCAACAAAATGTGCTGACTTCAGGACCAGCAGTCTAATGCTACATATCATGAACATATTTTTTGAAAGTCATTTTGGAGAGAATTAATGTCAAAATCGAAAAAGAAATTGGATAAGTACAGTCCTGTTTCAGGCCAGGAAATGGCATCAGAGAGAGAATCTTCTGCATGAATACAAGAGCACAGACAAATTATATTCAAGTCCAAAAAGATCTTTTCGCCTGTTTTTATTGAATACTCAACAGCTTTGAGAGAATACATCACATCAGGCTGATTTGGGTGTTTGAAGAACAAAGGCACTGATAGCATATACATTAGAATCATAGGGGATCTCTACTGGCAGCAGAAGGCAGCAGTTAAAGTGAGTAAAGAACTATCAGAATACTAAATTCCATAGCAGAGGAGAAAAAAGTTGTGTCCTCGCTCCCTATCTTTTTAACACCTATACAAAGTTAGACTTTAGAGAATTTCAAAATCTTCAGAGAGTCACTTTTGAGGGCCGCAGCACCAATAATCTGAGAAACGCAGATGATACAGTTGTGCTTGTAAACAAGAACGAAAACATAGTCTAAAATTGTGAAAGTAGTAAAAGAAAGCAGCATCAAGGCTGAGAAAACAAAAAGAATGATCATATGAAAGCAAACTGGAAAAGCAACAGACATAACCATAAATGGGGAGCGAATCGAACAAGTACATCAATTCAAAAATCTAGAGGCAATAATCACAGACGATGGCAGAAGTGAAAAAGAAATAAACATAAGAAGAGCAAATACAAAAAAGCAAGACTCAACTAAATACACAAACTATCTAAACCCGGGGAATTATGTCTTACTATAATAAAGAAAATGATGGAATTTTACATCTCCCCCACATTCCTATATGGCACTGAAACCTGAACCTTTGACAAAGAAAGAAGACAAGAAAATGCCTGCTAGAATAGAATGACCTTAAAAAGCTGGAAAGCAAAATGACGAACAATGAGGTGTTTCAGATTCTCTGCACAAGACAAACCCTGCTGGAGAAATTAAAATGTAGAAAAATAAAATACGTTGGCCACTTGAAACGGCACGAGATCATTGTGAAAGAGGAACTTCAAGGAAGGATGTGGAGCAGGAGAGCTAGGGAAAGAAAAAATAGCAATATGGAGGGACAGCATGAGAACATGAACTGAGCTGGATATAACATAATGTACAACGACAACTCGCGACCGAGAAGGATGAAGGGTAATTACACATCAATCTCTTCATTACCAGTCAACCTCAGAGTCAAAGATGCCACCTCCAGCTATCCAGGTAATCATTTGTTGCTTGAATATTTTTCTGCTTCAGTATTCAATAATTTTAGTTATGTTTATTTGATATAAAAGAACAGCGCTTCGTTTGCCTTTTTAACCTTTTGATTGAAAACAAGTTGGCAAACCGAACTCAGGGTTGTTGCTGTTAGGCGTTTCTCGCCATGTCATAACTAAATATTAGTTTCAGTTGCCTCTTTGATCTTTTGATTCAATACTAGGCTCAGTTGGCAAACCGGCGTCTGTGGTGTATTGGGTTAGGCGTTTTGCCGTCGCACGCATAAAACATAGGTTGGATTCCCATGTGGGGAACATTATAGAGTAACTCGGTCTTCCTGCTCTTGCATTGTATCTATTTATGCCCCGGTTGGATTTGACGTGTAGGATTAAAGTAAGTCAAAAGGGGCGTAAAACACCTACATTAAAAAAAAATCCAGTAGACATCAGAACTCATTCCTATTATTTCGCAAAAAAATAAGAGAGAGAGAGAGAGAGAGA